AAACATGAAATTTTGCAATAATCTTACGCCACCCTTGCACAAAACGACGATAATTTTTCCAATTTCATAGACAACAGAAGACTGTATTTTTTCTAACATAACCCCCCCCCTGAATTTAAAGCTGGATCCGCCCCTGAGTGTCTCCTATTTGGTTTTGTTTCCTTAAACTACTGAAAACGTATTCTGCAAAGCTCTAAAAAATAGAGCCTTAAATTGCGCACTTTTTATATCTAGTTTTAACGGAAAATGCGAAAATTCAAGGTACCTAAATGCCAGTTTATGGCTCCCATTTGGAGAACCGGTTTAACTGCCAGGCTCTATTTGCCATTGCGGGATGCAATCCCGGACACAAAGCGTTTCAACACACATGTTTATAGGAATTTTTCTACATATTTTTCTTCGCAGAAATTGAATTGTAAATATTTAATAATATTTACTTGGTGCTATTTTTACCAATATGAAAAAAGTTCACATTACCATTATTATCATTTTTCAAGTTTGATTAATAGTCGGCCAAATGTTTTGGCGTAAAAATGCTCGATAATAAACACAGAAGTGAAATCTGTGTTTTCTCATAAACAAGCTGAAATTATTTGAGTAAGCTTCCAAGACAATATAATGAGCCAAGTCTACGTCTAACAACATGGGGAATTATTTGAACATCTAAACCGTCTCTATTTTTCATTTAAACGAGACAAATGCGCTTGGAAACTGAAACATTTTTAAGTTTCATTAATATCAGTATGGATACTATTTTGCCTTAGAACACCTAAAAGAACCATAGGAAGTGACCAAAGGCGAAAGGACCTAAAGAAATTCTTGCTCTACTTGCTTTATGGATGGGGAGCGCCGTTATGTCACAACCTGATGATTTTAGTCTTGGCATATAGCGAAATACTTCCGTATATTATTCATCCTTACATGGGACAATTTAAGTGCTTTTTCGAAAACAGTAAGTATCAATTGATCTCTATTAAAAAAAAAATGCGAGAGAAACACTGCAGAACTTGCAAAATTCAGCCGCAGCGCTTCTAATTTTATCTAAAATTGATTCCTTCCTCTAAGGGATTTCTTTTGGGAATTGACCAATTAATATCTGGTGGAATGCTCGATAAAAATTAAATTACATTCGCATGGTCATTTTACAGAAATTTCTATTAATACGTATGAAATGTAATCTTTCTGGTGCGGTTTATGTACGTTGCTAATTGATTGTTTAATGTAACTCTTGCAGCTTGAATGTGTTTCAAACGTTCAACTAATTCCTGTTTAAATTGATTGATTGCCTTTCAAAATAAACGTTATATGAATGTACTGGTAACAGTTTTAAAAATGTTTAACTGTTTTCAAAAGATTCTCCTTGATACTTTTTCACGATTCATCAACATAATCATTGTAATTTATCTTGGCTAATGCTGGTATGATTCTTCCCCCTTATGAAGGTTTGATTCCAGTTATCATTTTGTCTTTTGTTAAAATAAAAGTTAAATATAAACAACAGCAGTGAAGTTTTTTCTAATTTATATTATACTGAACTGAAAAACACTGTGCCTTAATTCGCTTTTGTGAACGCATTATGAAACATCAATGGAATACTCAAATCATCTTCAAAGCACATTTAACTTAATTAATAATAATTATTTTGAACGAAAACACTGCGCCCCTCATTCAACTAAAATTTGTTCTTTGTCTAAAAAAGTACATCTGGTTTTCGGCAGAAAATTGTTTTATCAACAAACAATAGAAGTATAGTTGAAAATATATCATCTAAGTTATTAATTCTGGCCAGCGATTGTATAAACGTTCATAAAATTACGTGTTTATTTGATGCGAAAAGTCTGGTTAATAATGAAATGTATGCATGAGATCCGTTTCAACTGGTTATATGATTATTTTCTTATTTATTTTTATGTAATATTTTTCATATGGTATGTAATTTTTAGGAGCAGGAAACTATGCCAGGGTGTTTTGGCTTATATTGCCCCAGCTGATAATCCAAATAATTAACACCGTGCTATTTATAAGAACAATTGTCTATTGCATAAAGGTGAAAAGTGAAATGATCAGAATGAACGATTCGAGTCGCATTAGCAAAGTGGCCGCTGATAAGGAAAAGTACGTAGTCTTGTTAAAGAAATTGCTTGGTTATTTTCAAAAACATTCCCAACGTTTTAGATTGGGACTTATTGTGAAGCTGGCTGTTATAATGGGAGTAGTTTGGATCCTTGAAACAACATCGGCTTTCTTTCCCGACTTGAAAGACGGTCAATTTACGATGATTTTGGAAATTATTATCGACAACATAATTTGTCTTCAAGGTATGGGGCGATGAGAGTGAGCGCATCACATAGTGTGCCTGAAATAATTTTTTCAGGTCTTTTCATTTTCCTGATATTCATTTGCAAAAGGAAGACTTACAATCATTTACTGATCAAATTGGGATTAGGAATGAGGCGGCTCTCAAACTCAACTTCAATGACTCAATCGAGTCAGCTAATTTCGAACTATCCAATTGGTAAAAAACGAGCTGCACTAAACACAAACGATGGGAAAATGTAAAACCTGCTTATTAGCTTAGTGGCACAGTTTAGTGGCAGTAGCTTCAGCTAATTTTGATATTTAAAAGTATTATAATGTAAAATTTGCCATTGAAAAAAGATATTTGTAATAGGAGTAGTCGCAATAGTCAACACAAAGTTAGTGTGTGAGTGCATATGTAACAGAGCATTGCTTGCAGAACATTGATACCAAAGTTTTGTGAAAACATTATAAACTTATTGGCTATATACAGGGTATACGACATGGACAGTACAATATTTCAGGAATGATTGGTTCCAACAAATTTTCAAGACGCACATTTACCGATAGGGTAACTGAAAATTAAAGTAAATTATTGAGCTGATCGGAGTGTTAAGAATTGCAGTTGTGCACCAACAGTCGAACTTTCTTTCTTGCCTTTTAGCATTGGGTGATTTGCCAGGTGGATGTGGAAAACAACATAAATAAGAAAACTATCTTGCCCAGCAAAATCACCCGCTGGATTTCGCTTCATAAATTAGACTAAGGTTATAGCAATGCTTTACACTATGCGTGAATATTCTTAGATAACTAAGCAGAGTATATTAGTTTTAAGAAAGATGTATATTAAGTAATCTAAAATTTTTCAGTTGCTTAAAATTCAGAAAATTTTTAAACCCAAGATTCAAGAAGCTCCGTCGTTGTGCCTCTTCGAATAAATATTACATGCATCAATAACATAAATATAAACGATAAAAATGCGATCTGCACAAAAATAGAACTTTACTGCAACGTCTGATTAGTTGAATTCAGTTGTTCTTGAAAAACTACACTCAGTTCAAACTAAGGGATTTATAGATCTTCTTACCAGCTTTCTGCAAGCTGGCGCCCCATTCTCCATTTTTTCATTAATCCTCAAAAAGCCTACTACAGAGACACAACGAAGAAAAGAAGAATAAACAATTTTTTATTTAGTTTCCTCGTTTAAATTAAGTAATTTAATCTATTTTTACTGTTAGAGACAGTGTCGGTACATACATTTTAGAAGTGGCATTTTAAAGGTTTTTCCACGTCCGATGACGTTAATGAACGTCATTTCACTGCAAAATATTTTCGTAATAATCATGTAGACAAAATTCGTGCCTTCGATGAACATGAATTCATCCACAAGCACACAGGGGCGGATCCAGCTTTAAATTCAGGGGGGGGGGGTTATGTTAGAAAAAATACAGCCTTCTGTTGTATATGAAATTGGAAAAATTATCGTCGTTTTGTGCAAAGGTGGCGTAATATTATTGCAAAATTTCATGTTTTCCGGTCCGTTTAGCATGTTTCTCGGAAGCAAAATGAGCAAGAACGCTCGTTTTTACATCATTCCAAAGAGAACTAAATGGCCTTTTTAGAAAGTGAACCATCGATAATGAAATGTTGCAGTTTTCTCAAAAAATGCTTGAATTCAAGAAGTTTTAGATTTGCGTGGTTTTTTTTGAGTTGCAAAATTCACTTAAACATAACGCTGCTTTTTTCGAAGTTTCTCAAGAACCATTCGAGCCAGATAATTCGTTTTGGCATCGTTGGATAGAGAATTGAATGGGGGGAGTCCGCCCCCTTGCAAGCACAAGCGGATTCGCGTGATTGGATCTTGTATTTGAGCCATAGAGAAAGTAAAATTATTTTACTTACTCTATGATTTGAGCCGAAACAGCGTAGATCCTGTGGGTAAGAGATATGCTAGCCATTCGGGATGCCACCTATGAGTCAGTGGATGAAAGCTGAATTCTCTGGCTGAATGCAATCTACCATAAATTCAAATTAAATGCCGTCATTTACGTTAAGGTTAGATGCGCTTTACCTTCCAAAATAAACGATGACAGCCAACAATCCTGTTAAATAATTGAAGAAGTATTGATAATTAACCTCGCTTTAAGGTTTGTTTTGAAGTGTTGTTTTCGAAATGTCTTTAAAGTTTGGTGCTTTTTAAAGTGGGGAAAAACTCGATTTTTTATTGAACCTTTAATCAGAAGCCGCGTTAGTGTAATGTCGCTGTACGACGACTATGATACGGCTCAAGACAAAGTCCAAGGATGGTCTTCTGGTATCAGGCTACTTCAGTCACAGTTGCAGCTGAAAAAAGCTTCGGTAACTCAGCCGAAAAGAGACCAAGCACGCAAAGCTAGCTTAGCCCCCGTTATCAACCTGAAAAGCAAGAAGGACGATGAGGAACCACCGACTTTTGCAAAACCTGACAATAGATTGCCGATACTTGGGGCAACCGGGATCTATTCCAATGAATTGGACTGGAAGGTATATAAGATTCAGCCTACTTTTAAACCACTCATTTAGTAACGAACTGCTTCTATCAGACTATACAGGCTTTCACGGCCGGTCAAATCACATATAGAAATGTTTTTGGGGCTTTGAAGCCGTGGTCCATGGGAATTTCTTCCTGACGTTCAAGTCTTTCTTCTGACTACCGAAGGCCTTTGATAATGTCCACCGCAGTTGTGGACGAAACGTCAGGAAGAAATTCCCATGGACCACGGCTTCAAAGCCCGAAAAACATTTCTATATGTGAACTGCTTTTATCTAAAGAACATTATTGATGAAATAGTCCAACTGTTGACGGCAAGTTCTACTTACATGCTTACAAAACCATTGTACCCTTTTCTCTCTAGGTCTATCAATTTAGGCTTAGAGTTTTATCACCTTTTTGATTATGAACTGGTGTCTATAAACTGAAAGGTTTCACTCAATTATTTTTTACAAAGAACGAAATATAGAAGAAGCCACCTGAAGCAATCAGAATGTTTCATAAGCAATTAGTAACCTCAGCATTCAGTCATTTAGTAAAAAAGACTTCCCCTAATACTTAACTTATAGGCATATAAGATTTTATATAATTATATAACATTTTCAGTATAGAGCTGCTGAAAATTTCAGTGAAATCCGACTTGATTTTAATTTTTCAAAGCTTGGCAAAATGATCACTTAACGCGAACGCTTCCAGAAAGCTGCTATAAAGAAAGCCTTTTTTCAAAATTAAAATCATCGAGAAACAATGTATTAAATTAGGCGAATTATACGAATACAAACTCAGTTGTATACTCATCTTAGGTAATTGATGAATACGATCCTCTTTGGCCGAATGAGTATGAAAAAGTGGTAAAAGAAATACGGGACAATCGAGATAAAGAAAATGACAGAGATCGGGATAAGGACCGAGACCGTGACCGAGATAGGGACAGGAAAGACAAAAAGCGCAAAAGTAGATTCAATGATCCCGATGATACTTTGCCGCGAACACTGGCGATTGCCCCTCCAACACTTCAAATGAGTCAACCTCCTGTTGCCAGTGGATTTGCTGGTAAGAAATTACCTTAGGCTTATTTAGAGGCATTGCTATGAGTAATAAACTTGCAAATATAAGGCCGTTGGACTGCCGAGGATGAAGAGGAAGAACGTCCCAAACCAGTGCGCCCATCAGGAGGTGCAGCTATTGCACCTCCTCCTAGTTTGCAAGAATCGACTCCTGATCCGTTGCCGATCATACCTAATAAAGCGCAAGCAGCTGGATATGGTGGATCAGTCGCAGCTAAAATAATGGCCAGGTAAGTTTCAATCGGCGCCTTTTCAACTGAGTAACACTTCCTATTCGTCGCTTAGGTATGGTTTTAAGGAAGGACAAGGCTTAGGCAGAATGGAACAGGGAATGTCGAGTGCATTGCAAGTTGAGAAAACATCGAAAAGGGGCGGTCGCATTGTTCACGAGAAAGACATTATGCCACCTCCACCTCCTCTGGATAGTGCGGATAGAAAAGACCCTCCTATCACGGAAATTGTGAAGAATCCCAGCAAGGCAAGCAGTAGGCCTTGTTTTGCAATTCTTCAATTTAGATGTTCTGTTTGCAATTTAGGTGGTTTTGATGAAAAACATGGTCGGTCCAGGCGAGGTGGATGATGACCTGGAGCCTGAAGTGAAAGATGAATGCAACACCAAATATGGACCTGTCGCTAGCTGCATTATTCACGAAATTCCCCATGATGATCCTGAGGAGGCTGTCAGAATTTTTGTAGAATTTCAAAGAATTGAAAGCGCCATCAAGGCTGTTGTTGACCTTAATGGCAGGTTCTTCGGTGGGCGGCAAGTTAAAGCCACGTTTTACGACACTGAGAAATTCGATAATTTACAGCTAATGGATTAATTGCGGTTTGATTTAGTGAGCCCTCAATAATCCGGCCAAATCCCATTGCCCGTTTTTTCTGTAAGTTTATTCGAATATTCCACACAACTAATAAAATCGCAGATCGATTCTAATTAGAAAGGAAATGAAAGATTAGTAGAGGTACATGAAAACATAAAAATGTACCTCTGCGTTCAAAAAACTCTTTCAGTACAAAATTATCAGTCTCTTTCCACAAGAAAAATGCATTTTCTGTTCCTCATATATGTATGTTTTGCAGTTTGTATATCCGACATGGACAGGTTTTAATAATGTTTCTTGAAAAATTAAAATTGACTCGCAAACTTTTGTTATATTTTAAATACTTATTGCACCTTTTGCTATCTTTTCTCCAATTTCCTTTCCTATCAAATCTCGGTCAAAAATTGGCAAAATATCAATAAAGTATCTCGTCCTAACTAAAATTGCTAGCAATTTAACGAAAATTTTCTTCAAATGGGGAAGCGATTTTCCCTGATTTTTTATATTGATAAAATGTAAGATTTATAGTTAAATATCCTGCGCTAATATAAGAATGTGAAAAATTCAATTGCAACTTACTTGTTAGCTTTTAACTTGTTCTATCTTTATAGTTTTTCGCTCCTCAAACTCCGATTTAAAAAACCCAGTATTTGCATCATTTCAAACTGAATTCTTCACTATGAACCGTGTCTTTGTTGCTTTCGATGGTGAAGACAAGGACACTGAACTTCAGTTCACCAGAAGACCCCAATCTTCAGATTGGGTTCTTCGGAAGATTGTTGATACTGCCATCTGTGCTGGAGCTGAAGAATAAGAACTCATTCTTTGGTACCCAGATGCCATTCAAATAATCCGCCGTCCTTCTCTGCTTTAACGGAACTGCTATTTGTCTCTTCGTTCATGGACTTTCTAAAGTGAACCTGTTAATTGACAAATGGTTCCATTGGGTACTTCGCAAGTTTTTATTTACAAGTGACCCGTCAGGATCGAAGACAGGTTGTACTGATTTGTAAAAAGTTTAAGCGAGAGGTCATTGCTCAACCGATATAGCGCGATTGTATAATGAATTATGTGAAAAACTTGTAAAAAATGGCATTTCTATGCCCTGTGAGGATTAGACGCGGCAAAAAGAAAAAGTGTAAGTAGCATACCCACATAAACAAATACAGTAGTTATTTTTCAATATACCAAACTGGATTGTGGAAGCCCAAGATTGACCCAAATTGAAACACTTCTTGGTACCTGCTCCTGGTTGTTTTTCCACACTTTACTTGCGCAAATTGCAAAAAATTCATTACGTTCAACTTCTTTGTCCAGTTGCATTTTGGTACCCCAAAAAACACTACAGGCGCTTTGAAAAAACGGTTATTTTCTTCAGCCTCCAGTGTAGATCTCGAAAAAGAGCTCAACCGGGCAAGCAATGGAGTTACTCCAGGAATGGGAAGGATCACCGGATCTGCCAGCATAGAAACGCTGGTTAGAGTCGGAATTGAAAAGGAGCATGGCTTATCTCCTGACTCTAAAATGGTAGTTCTGCACGACTTTACTCCTTGTGTCGATGATGAACTGGAAGTCAAAAGGGGCCAGGTACAGTAGCTAATCTTCCTGTAGGTCATTTGATCAGTAATTACCAGGTTCATCTACAAGAAGTAAAAACTTTTTAATTAGATTTGTTTGTTAAAGGAACCCCGTTTGTAGCTCTAATAGATGGAAGTTTGCAATCTTCATTTCTCTTGCAGATAGTGAATATATTATACAGGGAAAATGACTGGGTGTATGTTATATCTCCCGACACAAGACAAGAAGGTTTTATTCCGTTTTCCTATTGTACGCCCTACAGCAATCACTTAGCTGAGATGGCCATCAAGAAGAAACTGCCTAGGGAGAACCAATTGGCTTCAGGAGAGAGTTCTGATACCAACCATGACTGGTAAGGCTTCCAAACTTGCGCCGTCGAAGCGTAGATGTTTCAATATCACTTTGGTTGCAGTGATGCAGCAGGTCTAGATAATAGTGACTGTGATTCCTTGGGGAAAACTAAGCAGGAAACTGGGGCCATTAGTCCAATTAGTATCCATTCTGAACCCGATATGATTCCCTTTTCTAAAGATCCTTCTGGAAGGTATATCGTGCTGTACACCTTCATTGCTCGCGATGAAAACGACGTGTCGGTAGAACGAGGAGAATTTGTCACAGGTATTTCCATTTATAATAAAACTAGCTGTTTACGGAATTTTCGTTTGCATTAGTTCTAAACCGAGAAGATCCCGATTGGTACTGGATAGTGAGGAGTGATGGCCAAGAGGGGTTTATTCCATCAGGGTTTGTCTATCCTGCGGACAATGTGATACAAGGTAAGCAAATGCAGTTTTGGTATTAAAAAGCACGTACAAAAGTTGCAAATACCCACATAGCAGAATATACCTGGAACATTCATGTGATGTACATGCATATTCCTGGGACATACATGAGTTACATTATGAACATTCCATGTATGTCCCAGGAATCTGTCTGAGTTAATACACTGAATGTTCTGGGAATGTACATGTGTGTGTTCAGTGAATGTATATGGTATGTTCAGGGAATATACATACATAGTATATCTAACGAAAGAAAAACGATACTTTATTTCCTCTTATTAGTTTATTCACCTATTTAAGTATTTACTGATGTAATTTTTCAACAACAAGAGTTACTTGCAACTAATCTAAAACTAATTAAATGGATAATAAATAAATTAAAATATAACTTATAACTACGGGCTAAAAATCTAAATTAACATTTTCAGCATTTTTGCCGTTGTCGCAATGATGTGTGACTGTGAGATAAAACACAAACCTTTATCGAAAAAACTGCACTTATTATTTTATATTCCTTACATGTTCCCGCTCTGTGGCTTTTGCCCTTTCATTTTGTTCTCGATCAATTAAAGTGTTTCGCAAT